GGGGGGGGGGGATATTTGGTATAATTTTTTCCAATTAAATCTATCTTCTTTCTTATATTTTTACATATACTCACGCAATTTCAAACCAAAAATTTGCAATAGTAATAATTAAAATTTATTAATAGTAGTCTGGTAGTGTCCCTGATTCATGTTTACATGGTATCCGCGCACCTGTAAAGTCATGAATTTCAGTATTGAACAAATTTTGTTATGAGATTTACTATTTTTTTAAAAAAATCATGGAAAGTCATGAATTTAGGTCGCCAAAAAATCTAATTTTTAAAATGGAATCCCCCCCCCCTCAATTTCATCCTATTCCAAATATCTGAATTCCCAACAAAATCACTACTCACAGTCATATTTTATTAAAATATAAAATGTCTTTCATGCTCTTTAAAAATTATGGTGTTCTTTCAAAAAAGGAACGAAAAACATTTCTAGATCGAATTATCTTTTAAATTTCAAGCTGAAGCAAGCCAATCATTGGCGAATTTTTATTTTGAAATGAGAACAGACAAATAAGGAGTATTTCTTTACTTTCTGATGAACAAGATAAGTATCTTTAGAATATAATTCTGCAGAAAAAAGGAAGAAAAATTTGCTTTTGTATTTTTTTTTCCCAGCTATTTTATTGCTTCAACTCTTTCTTTACTCTGTTTTTTAAATTTGAAATCTATAAATATGAAGATGCAGAGTATAACAGTTTTGGTTATAATTATCATTTCGATTAATGTTATTATAATGCTTTTCTAAATTTATTGTTATGTTTTTGTCGGAGAAAATAGTAACTTCTTTAAGTCTTCAAAAATTCTTGGAATTAATCATGGAAAATCATGAATTTGAAAATCTGAAATGTAGCAGATACCCTGTGTTTAGTAATGTTATCTAAACAAAGATAAATTCTGCTTTTCAAAACATTTTCTTTTTGTCGAAATTTCTTTCAATATATTGGAGTTTGTGTCCTTTACCAATATTATTTATTAATGTTGTTTTCGACTTGTTCTACTGAAATGGGTGTTGCTCTGTTACACACATCAGTTATTTGGCCTGCCTTCTATAAATAAATCACACATACTTCAATAATTTCTGCCTTAATATTATCTTACACAGTAAAAGCACCAATAATATTTTTTTTTATATATATATAAAATGCTTTTCTTTTTTTTTCACCTCCTTATTCTTTGAAGAATAATGAGACTTGTTTCGTCTATAAAAACAGCCTTAACAATTCAGTTATTTACAAAATCACAGAATGACCAGTGGTGAAAAGAAATTCTAAAAATGCAGTTGAAATTTTTTTTTTCTGGTAAAAAGTTTTTCTCCAATTTTTCAAACGAGACTAAACTGGTTTTTAAATTATTTTTTTTTGGGGGGGGGTATTCTTGAAGGTTTCTACATGGCTTTCTTCATTTTCCTTCTCTGTGCGGTGACTTGCTGTTTGATGATCTTCATCGATTAAAAGGCAGTCTTGTGAAACAGTGTTAATGTCTTTTCTTTCAAGAACAGTGTGAAAGCTCTTTGCTTTTAATTTGTTCTATCATTTTGTTTAATGAGCTTTTCATTAATGACTGTCTATCAAAACCTGTCTAAACACAAGCATTTACATTTTGAGATGTAAAACTGAAATTTGTAATAAACTCCAAAATGTCTAAAACTCCAAGCAGTTGATAAATAAAAGGTGCAGTTTTAAACTATACAAATCAAGGTGTTTGATTTTTAAATCATGTTTTGTCTTTTTGAAATCGCATGAATATGCAACAGAATCTTTGATTTTTTAAAATAAAGTTAACACGAGTCCCAATATTAGATTTTAAAATTGCTGAAATTCGAATCACGATTTTGGATTTTTAAATTGTGTGAGTAGGAAGCATGACGTTTGATTTTTAAATCACATAAATTTTATCACTATAGGTATTTTAAATCGTATGACTATGAATTCCCATGTGTAGTTTTAAAATCTAATTTATTTCAAAACTAGTTTGAAAATTTTGAAACGCATGAATGTGGATTGCAACGTTTGATTTTTAAATCACGATAATTTGAATCACGATGGGAAATTTTATAAATTGCAGAAACATGAAATGCAGCATGTAATTTTCAAATGACATGAATCCCAATCTCAATACTTGATTTCTTTAAATAGCGTAGAAACAAATCGCGATGTGTGATTTCAAAATCGTGTGAATACAAATTGTGAGCTGATATGTGTAAAAATAAAATATCGTATTTGTGCATACTTACACATCGCACGTGTGACTTGTCTCACAGAATTAAATTGACATTTATATTCAATTAAATCATTATATATTATTATATCATTATATATTTAAATCAGCTTAATAGGAATAGCAAAAAATACCATTTGCAAAATAAATTGTGATGCAATGAGTCGCAAATTACATAAATATTAATCGTAACTTTCAAAAGTAATTTGTATAACACTTTCAGGAGTACCACTCTTCAGTCCTGAGGACTGAAATCAGTTTCGAGAAAAGATCAGGTGGGGTGAAATCCATCCATCAATTAATATTTATTTCCAATTTGTTTTTGAAATTAAGTTTTTTTAAAAAATGAGATTTATAGAAATAGGATATATCTCAATGATGCTAAATTGAAAAATAAGTTGAGATTATAAATAAATAGCTCCAAGAAAAGAAATTGTGGTTTAATTCAAAGATTGGTGTACAAAAATGGAAGGTTAGCTGTTAGTTTTGTTTTGTTTGCTGTGAAATAAAGAAAATATATTTTTTTTAAAAAAAGTAATCAAGTCATTGATATAATATATGGGTAATTCTCATCTAGAGTGAGCTATAAATTTTTGAAAAATTCTGCTAAATAACGCTAGACCATGTTAATTGGTCAAAAAATAAGTTCAGTCTCAAATTGTTTTAGAGTATTCCCATACACTTTACAGTGAATCAAGAACCTATTTTAACAAATCATATCTGTTTAGCTAATTGCGTTAGTATGTCATTACTCACAGATGTCGTTAATAAAATAGCATTGTCATAGGTGACAGAAATTTCTTTGAAGAAGCTTTCAACTTTTCTAAAAATTGAAAGAAAAAAACTCATAGGGGCAGAAATTAGTGGTTTTTTGTTATTAGAAAAGAGAACTAATACCAGAATTCGAGTAAACCAAAATAAAATCACCATTTTTTTTCATTGGGACAATCGGGCATATTATATATCTTCCAAAATTCTTAACACCAAATAAATTGTCTGAAATATATTTTTAAAAAAATATTAATTGTGCAAGATTTTTTTGAATAAAAAATATTTTGAAATAAGTTTTATTTTGTTTCTCTTGCCTTCCTAAATAAAGGTAACTTTTAATGGCAGTTGAAAAATAAGGAATAATATAAATAAGGATAGTAATCATGGATATAAACAAATAATGAATTACAGACCTAATATATCAAAGCCTTAATTTATATTTATCATAACTATGACTAACGAATGTACTGTGATGGCACAGTAGTTTAGGCACTCAGCTGACATTGTGAAGAACCATGGTTCTATCCCTGCTTTCAGCCCACCCAGCAGTAGATCAATGGGTAAAATAAAGGCAACTTGACCACATTGCCCCAATATTGTGTACCTGAACCTACATGAACCTGTCAGCCAACAACTTATGTTTATCATATTATAATTTATCTTAAAATTAGTTTGATTGCAAATTTCCTTTTTAATGGGAAGATAAGTAATGATAAATAGCACTTTTATTTAATATGCTTTAAGTAGTTGTGTCACTTATTTAGGTAATTTTATTTTGAATTTAAAGAATCAGCTATGCAAAATGAGGAAACTCATTTAAATTTGAATCCTGGCAATGACTATTAGATTCTAATCTCGATCATGGGAAGTTTTTACATTATTAGTTCAGTTTTACTTAAAATTCTGCTGCTGACAAGTACCTACTTAATTTTACAAAAAGCAAAATAAATTCCATATTTTACAAATATAGGGTTTGTACTTTCATTTTGTGTGCTGCATTTTTGACTTTAAAGTATCTTTCATCATATAGAATGCATTAAATACTGTTTACATGTATATTCTATTACTAGGCAACTACTGTCCCGTTTGCCACAAGTGCTATGAAGAGAATGACTATGAATCTGAAGTAAGTTGCTCAGCAATATTAGTTTTGCTTGCATATCCATTTTTATTACTATGCAGTATATTTTACTCTGGAGTTGTAATTACTTGACCGTCTTGTTCATTACATTTCGATACTCAACATTTTTCTTTAGTTTTTTCCTTTTCTTAAAAATAAAAAAAAGGAATTTGTAAAAACAGTATTATATGTGACTTATTAAAATGTATTTAGTGTAGTATTTTAAAAAAATTTATATAATTTATGATTATTTACTCCCTATATTTATTTTTTTCTCTATCTTTTGAAGATGGTGCAATGTTTTGACTGTCTTCGATGGGTTCATGCTGCTTGTGATAACATAAGCGGTAAGTTTATTTTATGCATTTATAAAATTAATTTTTTTAATACTATTTCAGTTATATACTTTAAAATTGTTTATATTCTTATATTTTCAGCTGAAGGATATGAAATTCTCTCTTGTCTTCCTGATAGTGTTGTTTACACTTGTATTAATTGTACTGATGAAGTTGTTCCAACATGGCGCAAAGCAATTAAAGAATATCTGAAGCATGGTTTAAAGAATGTTCTTAACACTCTCATGGCATCAAGATGTGCAAATCATCTAATTAATCTTGTAAATAATTTTTTTATGCATATGTTTCGATTTCAACTTTTCATAAACCTGTCATTTATTAAAAAAAAAAAATTATTTCCTCGTTTTAAATTATTTTTATGAAGTTTCTCTTTTAAAATTTATTAATTTGTTTTAAAGGAATTTTAAATTAAAAACTAGATATAAATATCACTTTTTAAAAGATAATATTAACTGTAGAAATGTTGGGCAGTAACAAATAGTTAGTATTATAGTTACATGATTGATAATTGGTAATAAAAATTAAAAAATACATTAATTATGGTAAATTATGGCATATGAAATTAAAAATTACATTAAAATAAACTTTAAAAAATTTATACTTTCAATTTTTTATCTATTTTTTTTTCCATGGCTACCTTATGCATTCGGATATATTCTGCACCCTTCCATCTATTTACAATATATTTGCCCACTTATTTTTATCTATTGAATTATTAAAGCAATATATGTGTGATATTACAATAACTTTTATTCTAGGATCAATCTTATCAAAAACGTAAAATTCCTGATTACATGATGGCTAAGCAAGCTGAATCTGTGTCGAGAGATGAGCCTTCCAATAGAAAAGAGGACGATAGAAACCCCTTTTTCATTGATGAAGTGGCTGATAGCACTGATTCAACCGACGTTAAGAGAACCATTTCTGCCATCGTGAAATCAGTTGATGATGTCTCAGCTTGTATGAAAAATATGTTGAATAAGTGTGAGGAAAGCAGTTCTTCAAAGCATCTCAATGAATGTTCTCCCACAACTGTTGATAATGTTGTCCAATCTGCTCCCAAAGAGCGATCTGAGGAGAAAAATGTGCTATTTAAAAAAAGTAATTATTGCTTAATTTTCTAAGCATTCTTGAATTCTAATTAGCACAGGGTTAGTTTTTTGACATGATAAACCTCAAAGTCTGTTTAAAACCATTAAAAGTTGTTGGAACCTAACATGAAAGTCTCAAAATAATAATGCATGTATTTTAAACTCTATTTTTTGTGTAGCCTGTGACTACGGAAGTATCTCAAGAGTTGGGTCTCTTTCTCTCTATATGTATATATAAATTTATTTATCTCTCATTTAACTGTATATTCTTTTTATTCTGTTCGTTGTGACATTTGAAATCAAGAATTTTCCCCTATAAGGATGTATTATTTTCCCTACGGGATCATTTGGTAACAGTTTTCACCAAGAAAATGTTAAAACTCACTTGAAATAAAGGGTTCTTTTTTTTTAAAGAATGTAGACACAAAAAATTTTTCTTTTTTTTTTCAATATTAGTTTTGGAAGATTCCCTTCATTTATAAAATGTGAGGGTTGTAGCTGTTTTATTTGTAGTTAAGACTATCAAAAATTTGCTTAATCTGCATACAAAACAAGAGCTACTAAATTAACTGCTTTAATACATTTTGTCCTGCAATGTTTAATACTGGATTTTCTTTTTTCTTAATATTATGCAGTTTTTTTCTAATAAAATGTGTGTGCATAAGTATACACTTGATTTAGCTCTTTCATTAATTCCTTACATTTTATACTATATTATTATTGCAATAAATTGTTTTTTATTGGATTAATAAAATTTATTGGTTCCAATAAAATCTTATTTATTGAAAAATACAAACCCTTGAAACTTATAAGTTTAGTTAGAAACTTACAAGTTTCTGAGTCCTTTTTTTACCAAAAGCAAGTCTCTAAGAAAGGAATATAATTATCTATTTTAAAAAACTGCATGAAAAGTAAATATTTTATGATTAAAATATCTTTGTGCATGTATACTTAGTAATTGAATCAGAAATATTTCGACAAAGAATTAAAACCATAATTTCCAAATAGGCTTTAAAATCTGGCTATATTTTCCAAAAATAATGCAAAAAAAAATCTTTTTCATATATACTTAACATTCATAAGGCAGATTTAAATTATTTGAATAAACACTTCGCTAAGAGTATAATGAAAGAAGTATACATGTTACTTGTATATTGAAGAATTTAAAAGCGAGCAAATGAGATCTGAAGCAATGACATAAATGCATTTTCTTCTATTAATTAGTTAATACAGGAAGAATTTTTTTTAAAAAATAGTTAAATTTTGCTTTTAAGGCTAAAATCTGTTGCAGTCTACCCATTTTTTTTTACAATGGGAAGTTACTATATCATAACTTTTAATATGCGTTCTGTCTATGATTTTTGGCATATTTAATGCATGTAAGCGGAATCACTGCTTTTTTTGCTTAAAATATTTTCATTTCGTTATTTAGAAGCCTATTGAGGCCTGGTGGCTAAATGGTAACCCTTTACGCTCTTGTCCAATAGATCTAATTTCCTATTCTCGGATTGGGCAAGACTGGCTCAACCTTTCATCCCTTCAACGGGTCAATAAAATGAGTACTAAACATACTTGGAGTCTGAACTCTGGGGTTACGGCATTGGGCTGGTCAAGATGGACAGAGTAGGCTTAGGCTCTCTGTTCACTGTTCTATCCTAGATATTTTTATCCATAGAAAAAAGTTTGCTCGATTTATATGTAATCGAGTTAAACTAAGTCTGTATAAAGTCAATTGTTTTGCTTTTCATTAAAGATTTTGACCTGAATATGTTTTTTTTAAAAGAATTTCTGTTTATTTTTCCTTTTTTTTAAAAAAATTTATTAAATAAAATCTATTTTATTAAATAAAAAATAATTATTTTATTCATAGAAAAGAGTTCACTGGATTTATCTGTAATCAGGTTTAATCTTGATAAGGGAAAATATTCAAACATTGTAAGTATTATTCATACATAGACTTAAAATAACATTTTACTGAAATAACTCATATTTCCAAGTGTAAGCACATAATTTGTTTTATAGGCTTCTTTTTTCGAAGATGTATTGTATGTAATTGATGCCAATAGTAACATGGGTAAAAAACATAATGCCAGTGCAGCCAAAGTACTTCTAACTAAGGTAAGACAATTTTATTTTATTTATTGTGTTTGAAATGTCTTAATAGTTAATGTAAGTAATTTCCTTGTGAAATAATTTATGTTGGTTCTAACTAATTCTAACAGTATATGTGGATTTACTACCCTGGTGTTATTCTTGAAGTGTGAAGTGCTTTATAAATATTTTATCTGAAGGAATGTTGATTTCAGTATTTTAAATCAGGTTCACTTAATTAAAATATTGTAATTACGAAGTATAATAATATATTAATTACTTATACATGTAATGTATTAATTTGTATTTGTGTCGACTTATTCTATAAAATCATTTGCACTTAGTTTTAAAGTGCGTAATTTTAAAAAATGAATTTACAGCAAGGCTCCCATGGATCAAAGAGAACAGGAGAAACCTGGAATTGTCAGGGAATTTTTTTTTCAGCTCTCTGAAAAGTAGGAAATTCTCGAAAAATGTTTTTCTTTTCCTTTTTCACAAAATTTCTACATTATACCTGGAAAATAACCAGTCTTTGAGCTGTCAGTGGCAGTAATCAGTTATTGAGGTTTAATTTAAATAATTCTAACATCTATTACGATTATTTGTTGTAAAAATTACACATTTTAGTGAAACTATTCCATGTTTCCATCCTCATTCAATCATTTTTTGTTCACAAAATCTCATATTACAAATGAAAAGATCAAAGATTTCTATTGAAAAATTGCATAGTGTAGGTAAAATATGGCCTGGGTTTACATTGAAATTTTCCTGAAATACCTGGAAAAGCAAAGGGGAAAAAAGATAAAAAAATTCTGAAATTAAGTGAGAGCCCTGGTATAGGGTCTTTTATTTTGTTATATTTCCCAAAAAATAAACAATTGTTTAAATATGCTTTCAATATAGCTTTCGATATCAAAAATGATTGGGAACGAGCCTAACTCAGATTATTAATAATAATAAAAATCACAAAATTTGGAACAAACTTATCTATTAAAGTAACTAATTATTATACATGGTTTCTGACATATAGCCTGAGAAACTTTTGGGCAATTCAGTCATTGTGTGAAAAGAAAACTCATTTTATAATTTTATTTTATCAAACTTTTATGGTGCTGAATTAGGGGTCATATGCTTATTTATCATTTTGAGAAAGGTATAGTGGTTAAGTTTTTATAGTTTCACAGTCATAGATTAGTCAATTTCATCAGATTTTCTATATTATCAATTTCCATTAACAGTATCATAACTATATTATAGACGTGGTTACTTGAGTTACTTTTGCACAAAAGTGTCAAGAGGCATTTTCACTGAGTTTTCATTTTGAGATTACTTAAACCCTACTTTAAAGTTATTTTATTACAGAATTCTTGGACTCAATAATAAATTTTAAGTAAATATTAGTCTGGTATTAGTTACTAATTGATAGTGGTTATTTTTTTTTAATGCAACAGGTCTATAAAACTTTTCTATGCATTGATTTACAAACTTTTCTTCAAAACGTGTGTTCTCCCATTTTTTTTCTTTGGCTCACTACGATGCCTGTAATAGGTTACTCAAATAATACTTTTCTAATTTTTGTAGTTTTTGATGTAATCAATGTTTTGGTTATTATTCATTGTAATCAGTGGTATTATTTTAAATTTCAGCAAACAGAAAAAATATTTCCTTGGTTTAAAATTCCAACTTCAAAAGTATGGACTTCAAAAAGTGATCTTCCAGAAGGGATGCTCCCAAATGCAGTTATTCCACCTTACGTTGATCATACTTATTCTCAATATTTGGAGAGGAGAGATTATTTCCCCAAAATTAAAAATGAAGGTAACTCATATTGTAATAAAATATTAATATGTCTTCGTTGGGAATCTTTAACAATATATATAGCATATATTTCGCAGCACCTCTATGACGATAAGAGGGGAAAGTCATCAAAAGCACCTGCTTAAATGCTACAATAGCAAATCAACATTTTAATGAGTGGCCCTTAAGTAAACATGCGTAATTATGCATCTGTAAATTAAAAAATTGTGATTTTATATATATCGATAGGAATTTTTTAATTTCTAAATGTTTTAAAAATAATAAAAAATTAAATTCTTTAACAGGTCTGTGTAAGTGGGCACTGCGTATACAATTTTGGCAATACTGGAGAAAGAGTACTTAGTTTTAAAGAAATTATAATAATGAAAGTAAGACATTTAATAAGGTATTAAAATAACAATTTAAATAATACAAATTATGTTTTGTACGAATCAATAAGCATAATTCAGAATTTCCAAATGATTTACTAAAAAAACTTGAAATATGTTAATGAATCGTTGAAACCCTGAACATAAGAAAGCCATACTTGTGTGCAAAGTTACTAATAGCTTACTAGAAAGAGGAATTTTCTTTTTTAGCTTTAAAAAAAAGAGTCATGTCTAAACTTCTCTTGAAAAAGAGAGTAAAATAATCAAAACACAAACAGTGGATGAGAAAAAGATATTTATAAATGTATGGAAATCAACTTTTTTTCACCGAAAATACATTAATGTACAGTTAAACCTCATTTTCAAAAACAAATCTGAATTTCCAGCGCATTTGCTATTGCTAATAATAGGAACAAAGACTCTTTTCTCAGTGACACTATATTTTCAGAAATATTTTTAATCTTAAAAAAAAGAAAAGAAAAAAATCTTAATTTTTAAAAAAATTTCTTGAAATCTAATTCTTAAAGAATCTGCCTGAATAGTTATGTGAACTAATTCTTAAAGGGGGATAAAAAAGAGACTGCCATGTTTAAAGAAAAGTGAAAGTTATCTGAATCATCAATTCCTATGACATATGAGAATAATTAAGAATAACTGCCCATAAGATTTGAAAGAAATTGCTGATTGAATAAATTGATAATTATGTGGAAGTGCTGTATGGGATGATTGAGAATATAAAAAAGAGAAAATGACAAAACAAAAAAAATTCAGATAAACATAAAATCTATTGAAAAGGCAAAGATATTGACATTTCTTAAAGGAAGATACAAATTTTTAAAATGCCAAGATTATAATTATTTTGACTAAATTGTTAAAAATATTTTGTTTTGGATTTGTATATTCTGAATTTTTGATATCATGAAACTTTTAGTTTCTTCTTACGAGTTCATGATATTGAAGTTTAACTGTATACATACAAATATAGATATTATATCATTGTTTTTATTTCCAGTTAATGTTAAATGCTTATATCTCAAATAAAATATTTAATTTAAATCAAAAGTTTTGCATTTAGCTTTTGTAAACTGTAGTTGAACATTGTGAAAATTACAATTTTGAAAGAAATCAAATATTGTTTAAAAAAATTTATAATTATTAAAAAGACATAAACATTTTTAATTACAATTGCAGTAGTTCCTCAACACAACTTTGCATAGTTAACTTTTTCAACAATATTACTAGAACCTATGCAGTGGCGTACGCAGAATTTTTTCAAGGGGGGTGTTCATAATTTTCTGAAACTACTAAAAGAAATTCGAGTCTGTAATAAAGCACTATTGTTTCCCTAATTTAGACAGCTAGACAATTTTGACTTTTTATTTAGACAACATTGTTTAGTTAAATTTTGATTCGATTTTTTAAGTTTAAGAACATAATGTAATATCTTCTAAAAAAAGTCCAATGTCATATGGGTGGGAAGTAACACTTTGAGGGCCACTTTCACATTCATCAGATTTTGTTATTCTAGAAACGTTTTCTTCAATGGAAATATCACATTTCTGTACAACAGAAAAACTTACATTGGTACTAAATGCTGTCACCTCACTAATTTCAGGTCGTGATTTTTTTCTCAAAATAATTAAAAATTGTTAAATTCTTGAGTTTTGACATCCTAAAGATCCAAGAACAGCAAATATATATATATATGTCAGGTATATATGCCGAGTTACTTCAAACTGCACCATAATGCGATGATGTTGGTTATCATCAACTAATTCAATCAACCATATGATCAATAACAATAATATTTATTCTTCAATAATAACATGAGTCACATAGACTCTTAAGCAATTAGGTTCGAACCACACAGGTTCCAAGTTTTACTTAAAAACAACCAGTTTCACTTAGAAACAAACATTAATTAACGAATAACAGATTCACTCAGAATCTTAACCACTAAGGTTACCAGTTTCCTCTAGAAACAATATCAACTGACTAACTCTTCATTTTCATTGAGAAAGTTCGCTGCTTTTCGTTAAGGAGAGCGACATCTGGCGTACTAACAAAGAGGCTGTAGTCTCGTATGTTACATATATATATATATTTGCTCGAGCAGGAATGAATAACTTCAACGAACACAGTATCTCCAATGGTATTGTTACTGATTTCTTCACTAGTCGAAATAGTGGCGACGACGGGTTCGGCGATTGAATGAACTTTTTGTTGAGATAAAACAGATTTATAGACAAGCGGCAGAGATAACTCTTAGTCTGACTAACTAACTCCACTGTGAACTTGAACACAAACATACGGAGTGCTTTGTATTGGATACAGTACCTCCTTATAATTTTTCACCGCATGCTACAAAATTCTCGAATCGTCTCAAGGACGACAAAACGTATAGGATTCCAGAATCATCGCGTAAAAACCTCGTGAATGACAGCCAGTCTCACAAACTATACTGGTAGGACAGAAAGGAACCAGTCCGTAACAGTATCACGTGACGTGAATTTGGTTTTAGAAGTACAACCCTATTATAGTAAATGTTTTTTCAGTATTCTGAGAAATACTGTGAGAAAAAAAGTAGGCATTAGGCAAATAAAAATATATAGTCTTAAAAAATAATAGCTGGCATAATTTCTACTAAAATTTTTATTTTTGCCATTTTGTCTGAGCTCAAGAGGGGTGTTTATACCCCTCCCTTGCGTACGCCACTGAACCTATGCTTGTTAAGGTTGTATATGAATTAATAGTGTGGGTAAAATAATGTGTCGAGACAAGTTTGGCTCAGTTTTTAAGAACTGCGCCTCCCAAGTTCAGTAGAATTTTTTTTGTGTCTGAACCTGTCAAGAGATTTAATATGACAGATAAAGTCTATAATTTACAACGAGGAAAACCAAATAAATGTATTATTATGATCACTCATTTATGAGATGAAAGTTCTTGGTCAATTAATCACCTTTTGGTACCCTTCACTTTCAACAGTTACAGCATAAATCTACATGACTTTTCATTCCTTTTACAGATATTATTTGCTGCATATTTCTGCAGTGTTTTTAAAATTGATTTTTTTTTCAATAGCATAATATTAAGATGTGTGAATTGTTGCATCTTGCCCACTAATTTAAAATTGCTTTAGCTCATCTTTTTTCTTGCTATAAGTTGAAAAAAAGGTTCCCAAATTTTTGAGATTATCTTTTAATAAGATTGTTCATGAAATATTGTTATGAGACCTGGTAACTTAAATAGAAATTATGCCCACAGTAACGAAAATCGGGGGAAACAACAGGAAAATTTTCTAAATGTTTGTAGCCACCTTGGCACTTGCTATATATATCTATTTGTAGCTAATTTTTTAAAAATAGGTCAAAATTTTTTAGTAGTTAAAATTAACTAAAACTATTATAAATATAAGTAATATTCTTTAATAAATTTCATTGTTTTGTTTTTTTTTTGTATTTATCCAGTTTTGCCTGATGCTAGATTCTGTGTTCTTTGTGGGTATGCTGGAGATAGTAATCCTAAAGTGAGTATAATTTTGAAATATTCTTTAAATCATCCTACTTAATTCTGTTCATGTAATAATGGATCTTTAATTTTAGAAATGTGGACGATTGTTGTACTGTGGGCAGGATGATTGGATTCATCTAAACTGTGCTATGTGGTCTGCTGAAGTGTTTCAACAACCCGATGGTTCTCTTCGTAATGTTTATCCTGCAATCTCCAGGGGAAAATTAATGGTAAAAGATCCATTTTCTAAGCTTCTCCTACTAAATTCACAGCATTTTATAAATACAGTCTATGCTCTTTAGTTATTCTTTTACATTGACTCAACAGCTGGGGTAAGCCTTGGCCTTCTCAAGAAGTTTTTTTTAAGGCTTATATGAGTGACTCTCTTTACTGAAATCCTTCCACTATAATGCTCTCTTGCTATTCAATTGATGCAATATTTTTTTAACAGCCATTAGAACATAAGCACTGAACCGTTCATTCTAATATTTTTGTTACTTTTTTTAATGACGGGCACTTGGATTTTGTCCCATTGGCCACAGAAAAGCCAGAACTCCTACTCTCTTCTCGTTACCCAGTGGGCACCTGTAGCAAAGCCGCGGCGGTGGAGCAGCATTGCCCACGTCACACAACCACAAACCCGTTTATAGGGCGGGTCACATTCTCACAAAGGAGAAAGGACATAGAGAGGGAAAGAAACATCCATGCCTTGAGCAGTATTCGAACCCGTAGCCAATGGCTCCGCAGTCAGACACGCTAACCACTCGGCCACCTGGTCGGCATCATTCTGATATAACAACTGATGTTTAATCATTTGATTCGTCTAAAATTTCTTTTGATGTTGTCATACATAAAATGTGAAACTTCTTAAATCCTCTTTGGAGGAAGGAATTGTGACATGATCCTCTAAATCTTCACTTTGAAAATCAAAAGTGACATAAAGAATTCCGCATGAAGCATGGCATCCATCCATTAGTATAAAAGGATGCATTCACAATGTGTGTAGCTTTCTTTTAAAAGGGCATAATAAATTTATTGATCATACTTGTTTGGAAATTGGTTCTGTTTGATTTGATCTGTTGACTTGTTTGGAAATTTTATTCCCTCTTTTTTGCAAAATGTTGATCCTTTTGGTGATCATCCTGGTTTATCAGCCATTGACTTAAAGGTGTTACTAGTAAACGCACATTTTCATTGATTTATTTAAATGTCGCTATTTGATTTTTTGTTTAAAAAATATTAAAATTATTTTTAAAAAATTTGCATTACAAATACTGTAATGTTATCTATTTCGATGATATGTTATTTTATGACAATAGCACGAACTAAAACATGAAACTGTAAATCAAAAAATAAATAAATGGCGAATTATTTTTTTTACATTAATGCTAGTTTCGAGAACCTCTGATAAGTATTTTGTGATTTAATAGTTTAAAAAATAAATAAAAAATAACTCTTTTTGAATGTATTTGTAGCCTTGTGAATTTTGTAATCAAGTTGGAGCTACAGTAGGATGTTGTGTAAGAGGTTGCCCTGCCAATTATCATTTTTACTGTGCTCGAAAAGACGAAGCAGTTTTACAAGAAGATAAAAAGATATTCTGTGCTGTTCATAAAGATAATGTTGATGAAAGGGTAAATTACTGGTCTTTTGCATTTGACATCATTTTGAAACATTTTTAAGTTTGAACTATTTTTGTGTTATATTTTAGAAAATAATTTGTTCTAAATTTCTTGACTTGTAATGAATTCATGATTCTGATTATTTAGGTAGTAAATGAAGATGATTTTATTACCAATGAGAAAATTTTTGTTAATCAGATCAGCATTTCTCCTAAGTGGGTTAAAAATGAGTGGGAGAATCCTATGGACAAAGATTCTTTGAAGATTAAAATTGGTAATTATGTGTCAATTATGTTATGTATATGTGTTAAAATCGGTAAATATCTGTAATTAGTAGCGTTAAATTAAATTTTGTAATATATGATTGAAAATGGTAGTTTTAGTCTAATTGGTGTGGCTATCAAACAGGGTGTGTAGCGTTTTTAAAAAGTGCTTAAAGGTGCTTATTTTCGTTTTTTAAAAGCCCTTTAAGGAGCTTATTTTAATTGGGTGTTTTTAAAAAGTGCTTAATTTTCCCTTTTTTCAAAATGAGATTTTTCCTTTACTATGTTGATTTTTGCTTCGAATTATACAAAAAGACAAAGTTCACATTGTTCTATTCAACGTTTTCATAATTAATTCAACCCCAAGCTGTTTCGGCCTATAATCTGTCTGTAGCGTATGAAAACGCCATTCGTTTTACATGATTCAAAATTTCATGCCAAACAATGCCAAAAGGTTTTTTTTTTTTTTTTTTTTTTTTTTTTTTTTTTTTTTTTTTTTTTTTTGACATGACTGTTAAAACAAGATAAAATCTTCGATTGTCAAAAACTTTCCCAACCCTCCCTAATTATGATATTTTTTAAGTGCTTAAAAGGTGCTTATATTTTGTAGAATAATTTGGCTATGCACCCTGTTAAATAATGAGACTGTTGCCGTAAAGCATTATATTTTTATTTAAACATTTTTAGTTATTATTACTTTTAATATACACCTATCCTCTATCCCTACTACATTCCTTGGTAATTTTCCATTCTTCGAAACAGTGTGAGGAGTCTTCTTCTGTTAGCACCTTCATGATGTGTGCTGTTTTTTCTTTTACAACTTCAATGGACTGAATTCTTGTTCCTTTCAAATTTGCAAATTTGACCGAGGGAAACAGATAAAACTCTCTTGTTGCAAGGTCAGGCAATTCGAATGGATGGTCTAAAACTGGGATGTTGTATTTAGCTAGAAACGTCTTGACAGGCAATACAGAATGAGCTGCCTTGTTGTCTTCTTGGAGAACTTCATCTTTTTTTTCTTAGTTTGATTTGTTTTTCGTCTTATTCTTTCTCTGAAGTTCAGCAAGGGCTTCAAGATAGTATTATTAAGTTTATTAAGAGTTTGACCTTCTGACACTCAGAGCGATTCTGATTACCACTTTTTCTATTGCTTCCTCCAAATTTTGTTTGAAAGGATGGTCTTCTCTGCTATCTTGAAAATGCTTAAACCACTGAAAAATTTTAACAAGTGATAAATATAAATTGTTATACACTTTTTGTAATGTTTCATTGCCTTTTTTTTTTCATGTGAAATTTTGTGATTGATTGATTCATTGCTCAAATATTACACTCCGGCCACTTATTTTTCCGACCAAAGAAAAATGTTTCTTATAAAAATGAAGGCCACGGCCAAACTATTGTTTACAGGTACTGGAGAAGCGCATTTGAAAGAGAAGGCTTTATACTGCATAGCTATCTCTCATTCACATTTGGCTCTTGTGTAGTTTATAAGCGATTAGTTTCGTTGTTTTATAGTCACACCTTGTATGATTAAAATTGGTAAATATCTATATGTTTATTAGTGAAACAAATTTTCAATTCTTTGTGTTCTTTAGTTTCTTTAAAAATTTATGAAGCAAAATAATATTTTTTGATATGTTTGCAACAAACTTTTTATTAATATTTTTTTTTTATTTAGGTATTGATCTTACAATTATTCAAAAACTTTTTTAAAATGTTTGTTATAAAGTAATGTGAGTAACTTACTACAAACAAAAAAATGTAGAATGGTATGATAAAAACTATGTTGTGAGACAAAACCAATTTTTTTTTTTTGCCGAATTGCTCGATGTTCCTTCAATTTTTTATATGGTGTAAGGTAAAAGGCCAAAATATTTTTTTTTTTTTTACATCTTAAAATATTTAATAAATCTTTATCTTCAGAGAAAAAATTAAACATTATTTATATAAATTTTTTCCCACTTTAATGTCTTATAGGCTATAGGAAAAGAAATTCTATGCTATATATTTTTATACAACTTGTTTATCTTGAATAAATAAAAATAAAAGCAATAAATTTACAGAATTCGAGCCAATGTATGCATTGCAAAAGAATAATTTCTTTTTATATTTAAAACTATTTTACTGTAAATCTTCCTTTGGGGGGGGTACATTATTAATTTTTCCCCTTTAATAACTTATCAATAGAAACGAAAATAATTAGCTATTTTTTTTTCTGCAACTTTTTCATACACTGGTATAAACAGGAATAAGATTAATAAATTTTTAAAATGTAAACTGTTTATAATAATTGTGTATTAGGGTTAAAATAACAAGACTGAAAAAAATTTGCTTTTACATAATTTCAGAAATCTTTGCTTTTAATGTATGTTATTTAATGTATTACATAATTTATACATGTTCTTTATTTAGGTTCTTTAACTGTGTCAAATTTAGGTCGTCTGACACCATTATCAAATGGACCTAATGTTCTGATACCTGTGGATTTTGAGTAAATAACTTTCCTCATTTTTTTTTTATCTATTTTTGTTAATTACCTTTTGCTTAAATTAAGATAAATTTTATCAAAGCATGTAAGTTTTTAATTCTGTTATTTTATCATAAATTGTGCATCATTATAGAATTGTATTAATTATATATATATATAGTATTTTTTGAATGTTTTAAATATCAATTTTTAAATTAATATATTGTAAAAAAATTTGAAACAACTCTGAAATCTTTCTATTACACAGCTAAAGAAATAATACGTCGCAGTCTTAAAAAATTCAAATATAATTATCTAAGAAAATAAATTATTTGCATTGAAGTTTTATGTTACTTTAATTTTGACAAGTGTTTTTATTTCTATAATGTATTACTCTACTTGCTCAGTGTTCTTATAAGAAAATACTTTAATTTTTGAAAATAAGTTAACCAGTCTAGTAAAAAATTTATTCTTTATTGAAATTATATTACATAGATAAAATCTTTTTGCTTAATAAACCCATTACAATATATTGTGAGAACTTTGAAGAAAGACACTATACTAGCTGCCTAAGAAAATGCTTGGTTTTTAAATTAAATTTATTTTTTCCTTATTCTACTGCATGTCTTTACCGATGTTTATAAAAAAAATTCCATGACACTAACGTCATAAACAGTTATTGATCTAACTAAATTACTATCCTAATTACTTGTATTTGGCAATATGTATTTTATAAATCTGATTTTTGTTGCAATTTTTTTTTCTCCAAAAAGGCAAATTATTTAATCAAAATGCTTTAAATCAGTGTTTTATCAAACAGAATTTTTAAAAAATCCTGTGCCCAATAAAATTTCATTATTAATAAGCATGCTGTTAAAAAAGTTAAATAATTTTTGAAGAATGGTTTTTAACATTAAATATTGTATTGGAAACTGTAAAGAAAACTGATCTATGTTTATATCTTATAGGTGCACAAAATTATTTTGGAGTACAAAAAATCCTCGAGTTAGAGTGAAATATACTTGCAGAATATTTGAAAAGCGTCCTGAAAAATGTCCTCCATTGTTTGTGCCAAATACCACTATAGTTCATTCGATAGGAACTTCAAAAAGTTCTGATAAAAAAATAGCTTTAAATTCTTCAAATAAATCAAATTTTGAAAAAGTCACTGTGTTTCATGATGGAAAATCATCTAGAATTGAATGTGATAATTTTGATGTAGAAAGTAATGATGTGAAAAAACTTTTAAATTACATTACAAAGAAAGTAGCCAAAAAAGAAAAGAAGTTAAGAAATCTGCATGAATTAAAAGAATATGATTTATCAAAATGCTTGGGTCCATTACTTGAAAATAAGAAAGAAAAGACTTTGAATGGTTTTAGGTTTAATAATAATTTAATTAATGAGGAAATGAAAAAAGATATCTGTGATATGGACAGTAATTATAATAAAATAATAAATGAGTTGGCTAGTAAAATTAAAAATAAAACTTTGAAAGATTGTGATATAGATTATATTAATAAAAATGACTATTTAGATTTTTATACTAGTCTTTTTAAAATTAAATCTAATTCTGATATTCTTTGTGATGATAAACTGCATATTAATCATGAGCTGCTTCAAGAGTTTGTGAAAAAGAATGGACATAAAAAGTTTAAAAAACGCTTAAGGAGCTTGTCTTTAGATGAAAGATTCAGGTCTAAGGCAAATAAAGAAGAACTAATTTCTAATCATTCATGTGCCAAAGAAAATTGTAAAGATTTACTTGATAATTATGAAGATGATTTTGATAAGTCCAGTAAAAAAAGAGCATTTTTGGATTCAATTATTCCATTAGATTCTGTAAATGAAACAGTATTGCCTGTGTTTAGTGTAGAAGTTAAAGATAACTCAGGCAAGGCAGAAAGCTCAGGTTACAGCTCCAATGATGATAATTTAAAACAATCAGGTAGATCTTTTATGCCTGATATTTTAAATAATAAAATAGAAATAGCTCAAAAAGAAAAACCAGTAAAACACAATTCAATGCTTCAAAGACTAGAAGAATGCAGAAGAGCTGGAAATACTACATATAAAAAAGATTCACAACCAGATTGGCAAACCAGCTTTTTAAATTCTAATCACAGTGTTCAAAATAGTAATATTATTTCTAATTGTTTAAATGGTGTATGCCAGGAAACAGAACCTTTAAAATGCAATAAATGTAAGAGAATTTACCGTACAAGTGAAAGCTTTAAAAAACATTTTGATGCCTGCAATTTTGTTATAGATTCTTCCTCTTCTGGAGAAGAATCAGATTCTAGCTCATCTAATGACAGCATGCATCAATCATCATATCTCAATCACAAAGTACCAAATCACTGTGATATTCAGAAGAAAGAAAATAGTTCTGATTCTAATCATTGTATAATTCCTGCCTGTGATAATAATCAAGACACTATCAATAAACCAGCAGATCCTCTGTTTAAAACATTCGATGGCCAATTAACTGATAATGGTCATATTAAAGGATCTATGCAGCACAGGGTGGAACAAAAAGTGGTTTCAAAATTGGATATGGCTGTTATGCAAGATGATTACCCTGTTCCCAAATCCTCCACCATTATACCCTCAAATTCTAATTATGGAATCAGTCAGCAAAACTTAGCAACTCATGATATACCCTACCAGTCTAAATCTATGGTGCCCCAAAATACTTTAGTATCTGCTACAATTCAGCAAAATATTCAAATTCCTATAAATATTAATCAGAATTCTTTAACTTCACAAGGAATCATATCAAATATTTCGGTAAATAATGCAGCAATAGCTACTGAAAGTATATCAAATTCTTATAATTGCTCATATGGAAACACTGCTGTATGCAACAATTCAGCTTCTACCATAATGCAATTGCCCTGTAATACTTTAATAATTCCTTCTCCATCCACCCATAACACAGTACATCCACCTACTCCTATGTATAGACAAATAACTATTCCTCCAAATAGTTTTGTGCAAACCCCAATAGAAATGACACAAAGTTCTCAGCTTTCTTATGTTGGTTCCATTACGATAACAAATAATGAGACTATGTCAATAGCGGTCAATGTACCAGATCAAATCTTACCCATGTATCCTCAGCAAGATTTGAGTTTTAATTTAATTCATAATCCTCTTCAGTTACAACAAACTTCTGAAATTCATCTTTCAAGTGTTAATGTACAACAGATATCACTTCAGAGTTCTTACCAAACCCCTTCGATTAACCAACTAGTGTTTCCTCAGCAGTCTATCAATATACCTCAAAATCAAGTTATGTTTGTGGAAGAGCCCTTAACCCATCAATTATCTGCTCCTCAAGCTTCAAACTATATTATCCAGGTTCCTATGGAGCAAACTCAGAATTGTTCTTTTAATACATTTGTTCAACAACCAGAATATCATCAAGTAGTTAACCCAATTTCTTTTGATTCTAATTCTCAAACTGTAACCAGCTCTTTACCACAAAATGTCTTCCAGGAGCAAAATAATCTTCAACAGTCAGAAGCTCCTCCTCATTTAGAGCCTGCTGTTACACCTCAAAACTTTAATATAAATAATTGTGCAAGCACCAAAAAACAACCCTCCAACATTGTGAGACCAATATCAAGCCAGGCTCCTAGCTTAGCCAAAGTGATAATGCCTAGTATGACACCTCATGCGTCTTCACCGGGCACTTCGGATTTCAGTGAAAGGTCGTCTCCTGTTTCAGAAAAATCTTTCAGTGATCAAAATTGTGTCAACAATATTTCATCCAACAGCAATATTATGGAAATTCTAAAAAAAGCTGCTGAACAGATGTTAAATATGTCATCTGAAAAATCAAAACATAATGCATCTTCATCGCATTCATCATCAAATATTGCAGCCGAGAAGAAAACACGCTTTGCCCATACTCGGAAAGTAGCAGCTCGGAAAGCTGAACAGATGAAAAGAAAAAATCCTGTCTTGAATGGAAATGTGAAACCTGAAAAGAAGCCTAAAAGCATCCAATTCAATATTGCTGCTTTGAAACAAGCTTTTATGCCATTTTTGGTTGCTCCAGTTGCAAAAGATGAACCAAATCCAGTACCAGTGAAAAGTAAGTTAAAATTAAAGACAAATGTTTCATTGACTTATTACATTTGAACACTATTCTGATTAACTAACGGTATTGTACAATTATCCAACTTTTTACTGATTTTAGGGATACTTTTAAATGCTTTTATAAAAAATTTTGGAGCTGAAAATTTAATCTAAAACAATTTCTTTTATCATATCATATTCAAAAATTTGCTTCTACATAATTGTGAAAGCATTTTTATTTCACTTAATTAAATAAGGAGATTTCTCTCAATCTTGTATAATTTCTTAACTTCTAAATATTAAATAAGTTTGAGTTTAATGGCACATAAACTTGTAATTTAAAATCTAATTATCTTGCTTAACTATTTGTAGCAAAAACTGGCACTTTATTCAAAATGTCTCGTTGAATTTTCATTTTCCCTTTGCACTATATTTCATAATTCTGAAGGATTAAAATAATAGTAAACAAATATATTTTGCTTTTGTGTACATAAATTTCTATTATATCATATCTTATACTCTTCATTTTAATTATTTTTTAGATGAGATTTCAAACTCTTCACTTGATGTACCTGTTGAAACAAACTTACCACTTCACTCAGATATTCCCATTGAACCAAATTTGTCCCTCCCATTAAATACCCCTGCTGAGCCTCAAAAATCAGGTGCTCATCTGCCAGAGGAAGATTCTGATGTTTACTCGTACAATGAGGAATCTGATGACGACTCCCCACTGCTCAAGTTACATATGCAAGAAATAGAAAGAAGGGAGAAAAGAAAAAGCCCCTCTCCTGACAAACCTTACCTTATGTATGAAATAACAAGTGAAGATGGTTTTAAAGTTCAATCAAAGAATATTCGAGGTTTGATTTTTATAGTAACTAACATTAGTCTTATAACATAAACAGTCTTTAGTTAATCTGCAGTGCATGTAGTTCTGCCTTTTTTCAAACTTTAAGTTGGTTATTTTTTTCATAAAAGCTGGTTTATTCATGTATTATTCAGTATGTGGAAGGTTAGGGAAGTTAAGTACAATTTTGAGCTTATGCAATTATTTCCTTCTTTTTCAGTATAGAATACAATAACATATACTTCTAAATTATGTTACCTCATAAGTTTTGGGGGGAAATTATTTTGTTTTTACTCATAAAATGCTTTTTTTTTTTTTTTTTTTTTCAATAATTTATTCCATTGCTAATATATCACGCTTTTTCTTCCAAATACTTGTTAAGAATTCATTTATCATATTCTTTTATGCATGTTCAGGGCTTTCTTTGAAATATGGTCGCTATTGGCAAAAAAATAATTTTTTAGTGCATACTATATTTTTAGCTTTTTAACTACGATTTGACATGTTTTTGTAGTTCAATATTTGTGTTTAAAAAAAATTATCTCAGAATGGAACTTAAGCGTTATTTTTTTCCACATTCTCCACTTTGTTTTCAACAATTGTTGAAGAAAAATCCTATTTTTCCTTACCTGCGCACTGTCTTCAAATTTCTGATACCAAGTTTTGTAATATGAAATTAAAAATTAGGAATTTTGAAAATCATTTGGAAATCTATAATAATAATGCCAGAATATAATAATAATGTGATTCGAGATTCACAAGTTGTAATGATTTCGTATTAAAAATATCGGGATTTTAAAATGTTATTTCAAAAAATTGTTGGGAGGTTTTCGACATTTACCTCTCCGTGTATTGCAAATGCGGGTTAGTTCCACCAAAGAGTCCTTCACGAAAGCAAATTTCTCCCAATACTTGATCTAAAAGTTGCCTTGTCTACTGGATTGGTTTAAAAATTACGAAGCTACGAAGTTGAACAGTGGTAGTCGTAAATCAAAAATTGGGTTGGCTGTTCAACGTTGGTTATAAAATGAAATATATGATCTAGAGCTGTGGTGGTTCAAGGGGAAAGAGCGTTTGTCTTCCAATCAGGTGAACCGGGTTTATATCCCAGCAATGGTTGATCAATACGATTGCACCGCCCACAGTGCTGGCTTAGATATCCTCAGTGGTAGATGGATCATGGGTTAGAGTCCCCTTGACGTCAGGCTAACAGTGAGAGGTTTTCGTGGTTTTCTCCACCATGTAACAAAAATGCGTGTTAGTTCCATCAAAATGTCCTTCATGAAGGCAAATATCTCCCATTGCTTGATCTAGGACTTCCCTTGTCTTCTGGATGCTGTTCAAAATTACAAGGCTACGGAGTTGAATATTAGTAGTTGTAAATCCGGAATATTGGGTCGGCCGTCCAATTACCGTGATAAAATATATGATCTAGAATTTGAGTAGAAAGTTCAGGGAATTTTATTTCTGAAATTAAGTGAGAACTATTTGTAAATGTGTATAATAAGAAAAAATAATTTATTTATCTTTGTTAAATAAACATTAAAAAAAAAAAAGAAATTTGTTTATTTTAGTTACTAAAAACTTTTTGAGAAATAAATTGAATTTAAAAAAAAAAAAAAAAAAAAAAAAAAAAAATTTTTCCCTNAAAAAAAAAAAACAGATTTTTCCATACATTTTATTTTTTAAGTCTCTCAAGAGGTTCGCTTTCTTTAGGTGTATGAGAGTTCCATGGCCTTAAATACTCCAGTGAATTTTCCGTCTTTTTGTCCAGGTTTTTATTTTTCACCAAGCTCGGTTTAATCAATTCTGGCTTTTATGCAATTAAACTCTGCCTTGCATCCATTTTGATTTCAGATTATCCACACAAAAAACTTGAATTTTTTTTTTCACTCTAAATTTCTTAATTAGTATTAAATTTTTTCTGCTCAAAACTTATTTGTTCTTTGGTTTAAAAAAAGAGGGATAATTATCTTACTTGAGTTAATTCATGAATATTTCCATAATTATTTCTTTAATTATATGAAATAATATGACTTACAAATATTATGTTTGTTGCTGTAGATGCTTGGGAGAGGGTTTATGAAGAACTTCAAGATGCTCGTATTGCAGCTCATATGGACCACAAAACAGTTTCTCCTGAAGGTTAGAAAACATTTTATATTTTAAGTATTTCAGATAAATTTATATGATGTGGTATTGTGACATTTAAACTAATAAAAATATTTTTATATTATATCTATAGATATAAATGGATTTCATTTAATGGGATTAGATAACTCCGCTCTCTTATATCTCTTGGAGCAACTACCAGGTGCAAAACAGTGTCCGGATTATGAGTTCCTCTTCCACCGACCAACAAAAGATCAATTTGAAGTAAGTTTTACCCAAGTATGCTTTTTTCTTCCCTAAACTTTAAAATGTCGGTTAGTTTATTTTTCCTATAATTTTGTTTATTGTACTATCATTACTATTGTACTATCATTACTATTGTGCTTGCATACTTTAGTAATGATAGTAATGGTATTAATTTTTATAATTTTCCTCCCATTGAACTTCTTTTTACAAAAACAATTTCTGTGCATAAAGAGTATGTGCACTGTATTTACTTCAAACTGTTAATTTTAACACCTTTCCAATCGATCACAGAAATCACCCTGTTTGGCAATAATTAGTTGTAGCTGTTAAAAAATTTATAGTGGCTAGTTTAGACTCAGGCACAATTAGTTCAGTCAGGGAAGTGTTATATTTATGAAGGAAATATCTAATTCTAAAGCAAACATCTCTTTAGGAATTGAAAACTTATTTTAATGTAGTTTTTCTTTTATTCAATATATTCACTAATAAAGATCTGATACTGCTTTTTTTACTTGAACTTAATAAATAAAAAATTTCAAACTATAGTTTTGAAACCGACCAAACTATTAAAAGAAGTTAGCAAAACTATCTTTTTAAAAATATATATGTTTATACAAAAAAATATTCTAAAAAATGACTTTTTTACTTTGATATTCTTCCTAGTTTCAGGGTTGCCACAGACGACAAAAATAACTGTTTTCAGGAAAAGGAGACTATTCGGAGACTTTTCTGTACCCCTAGTGATGTTTCTTTAAGCATAAATTGGGTGGAAAATCTGCACCCCACAAGATAGTTTCTGAACACACTGAACTTTTTTTTTCTTAAAAAATAAGAAATATTGAAAATTTTGAATTGCAAATTTGAGTTCTCACTTTTTAATTCGTTCAATCTGCACAGGCTCCGTTGTAAGTCTATTTAATTTCTCGATCGCCTTTTCAATGATTATTGCTACAAAATTCCGCGTGATTTTTAAACAAATAATAATAATACATTTAATACGATATTACGATGCGTGAATTTCAAATTTGAGTAATCACTTCATATATATATATATATATATAAACATTTACATTTATATAAAAATTATCATATTTGCCACCAACTTGACTGAATGGATCATGGTATATGACAATTAAGTCATTAACAAAACTTTAGTCATATTTTTGATGAATTTTTGTTCTTATTTAGGCAACTATTTTCCTAGTTTTTGGCTACTATTTTCATGTTTTAGGCTACTAAAAGCAACCATTTTGTTCATTTTTTTCTGCGGCAACCCTGTAGTTTATATATGTTGTTTTTCCTGTCAGGGACTTTTAAAAATGTGTGATGTTTAAGCCATTTTTGGAATAAAATCATTCTCTTAACAAAAAATTCAAAGAGTTTACATTCACTTTTTAATTGTGTGTTCAGATAGATTTTTTTTTTTTTAAAAAATCTTATTTTGATGTTAATATCCACCAGATTTTAGACTTGAGGTGCAGATATACCACGGATATTGTTATTATAGTACTAAAACTAAATGATTGGATAGCACCTGTTTTTTAATATTTTTACTTCATTAATGCTTCATCTTATTTTAATAGTTGTGTAGTTCTAACGCCCACCGCTAGGGGGGTGACAAGGATTAGTTACAGTAATAAAGCATTTTTAATACATTAAACCATAATGAAAAAGGTGAACAATGTTTCACTTTTAAGAAAGAATTATTTACTTTTTAATATTTGTGTTTCTTTAAAATTAATAAAGATGTGTTTGTTTTTCTAGTTAACTGAAAAATTCCATATTAAATAATTTTTCTTTCTAAATTAGTTTTGAAATTTTAAATTTACTTATAATCTTAAAACTTGTTTTAGGTTCCAGAAAACCCAACAGGCTGTGCTAGAAGTGAATGCTTAAAACTTAGGTCAGATTATGATATGTTTAATTTCTTGGCATCAGAGCATCGTAGTAGACCTATGTTCGTACCACCTGAGGAGGAAGATGAAGGAACTCAAAAATCTTCCAGAAGAGCAACCAATATAGATATTCCAATCGCAATGCGATTTAAAAGCTTAAAGTCAGTAGCTAGGGAAACTGTTGGTGTTTTTCGGTAAGTAAACTATAAATTCTTTAGAAAATATTTATTTATTTTATAAAATTGCGTTGCTGAAAAAATAAATCTTCATGATAATTCAGTTGTGAATTTTTACAATAAAGAGTTGTTTTTTTAAGCTATGATCAGTTTCAGAAGAAAAATCAGTGTGAAAATCGAAATTGTTTTGATCCTTCCAGTTGCTTCTTTAGAAATTTTTTATACCCTCTTCGTAAAAGACAACAGCCTGTACTTCCAGCTAATTTTACATATTGATCTGCAGTTCGTTACCTGTCCCACCCTTTATCTTTCTTTTCTTCAAAGCTTCAAGTGCTCTTTGTTGATAAGAATGGTGTACTTTGGAGAATCAGGGGTGATTATATTTCGGAAGTACCCCGGAATTCCGGATTTTACGTATCATCTCTCTAGGTCTAGAAACTAGGAGCAGAGTATGTGATTTTTTTCGCGGAATTCCACATATCTCGAGGCCATTGATTCGCGAACTTCCACAAATCAAACCTATAATCCGACTAAAATTTAAAGTAAGAATTAATTTTCACCATCTGAAATAAATTTATGAAATTCTTGCCAACACTAAAATCTCGTTTCATACCTGTGACTCTTCTAAAATTTCGATTTTTTTTTTGGTCGAATTTTTATTGTTTTTAATACTTGAATCCTCTTATATTGTTAGAATCTCTTATATCATGATTCATATTCACCCTATTTTAAAACCCAATAACACGATTCTTGCAAGAGCTTATTTAAATTTTTTCTTTAATTAGTTACTATAAAACTATAATATTCTTTATTGGTAGGTAATTTAGTTATTAATCTTAGGTCAAAAAATTATATTAAAGAAGAATAGTATATAAATTGATATCTTGTTTGCACATACAATTTTGAGGGTTTTTCACTTTGTGTCACAATCATCTCTAAAGAATATTCTTTAAAAGAATCTTACCGAGAATTTCACATTTGTTCTAGAGCATACAAATGTTAAATTGGGTCAACCATTTAAGAAACAGCTAAGAGCTAAGTGCATACAGATTAACAGCATTTACATAATTCTCAGTTTATACATTTTCCGATGCTAATTTGGTCTAATTTTATTATAAATGTTCTACTGGAACTATGCTGTTAGGTAATTGGCAACAGCCTGGGATGCATCTTTATTGATGATCTGAAAACAATATTGCTACAGACACGCTTTACCCTGCCACAATTTTGATTGAAAGGTAGTAGTGACTATCTGGCTTCTAAACATACTTACCAACCATACATGGATTTTTCTGAATGAATGATTAATTGCCGAGAAGAGTGAATTCTGAAACACTATCGTTATCAAAAAAGAGCCATTCAAATTGACACCCGGCATTGGCCGCAGGAAATAAAACTCTAGCCTGATTGTTGGGTAAGACTGTGCCTGCCACAATAAATGTGTGGACATTTTTAGATGCAAAGAAAAAATATTATTATTCATAAACTAAGAATTCAAGGAAAAAGCTAAATTTTTCTATATTTTCATAAGTAGTTAGTTATAAAGAGCACTTCATATTATATCTCTTTTTCAGATCGAGTATTCATGGTCGAGGACTTTTTTGCAAAAGAACTATTGATCCTGGCGAATTGGTTATTGAATATGCTGGTGAAGTTATTCGATCTATTCTTACAGATAAAAGAGAACGCATTTATCAAAGCAAAGTAAATAATGATTGCTTCTTTATTTTTGTGATAGAACTTATTGTAGATAAATACAATCACTTTAACTCAAATTTTTGGAATGTAAAATTAAAACTTTCACAGAGTGGCCACAGAACAGGAAAGTCAGGAAAACCTCAAAATCAGGAAAAATAAATTAATTTTAACATAACAATCCAATGTTTTTTCCAACAGAATACCAAAAGACTTGTAATAATAATTTTTTAAAGAATGTTTATTTTCTATCCAAATAACAAGTAAGAGTGTTTTTTTTTAATTTATTTTTATAAAAATAAAAAAAAGGCATAACTGAAGAATTAATAATAAAATTTATATCACTGGTTACAAAAAAAAGAAAAATTCAATAAAATAGATCTGGGAAAGATAAGGAAGTTTTTTGTGACCACCCTGCAGTATTTTCTCATTTATTTACATAACTATTTTAACTACAGTGGAAAGAACCATATCCAGAATAGTCAGGGCTTAGATAAGTCTGGAAAGGAATTTTTTTGGAAAATAGATCTTTAAGGTAAACAAACATCATAAAATGTGTTATTCAATAAAGAAAATAAAAAATCAATAAATAATGACAATTTCATACTAAAACTTTTTCTTATGGTTTAAAAAGTAAATAAAGAAAATCGAACAGACCATAATTTGGACTCTCATAAATAAAACATGTTTCTTTCTCTCTCTTTTTTTTTTATTTATTTATTTATGTGAAGAAGTAGCTTGGCAAATAATTAAATAAATATAACATTAAAAAAGGCCCTATACACAAAAAGTTAATTAATCCAAATTAGTTATATACATATAACAAGGAACATAACTTAGTGGATTTTATTAATAAAAACATTTGTAAGTTAAAGAGAAACAAAGCTTGTCTTCGAGTGTTCTTTTCAAACACTGTTCATATTCAACTTCATTAATACTCATAGTTTTTTCTTCTCAGTCTAGAAATTGAAAAAAAGGAAAGAGATTTGTTTATTTTGATTGTAAAATAGTGTCCTATGGATTTGTGGCTTTGTACTGTACTTATTTTTTGAAAAAGTTTTCAAGATCTTTGTGACATTTAGTTCATGTTCTAAGGATGGAGAATATATAGATATATTTTTATTTATTATATACTCTTGAGGTTTCTTCAGACAGAAAAGGGATTCTTCTACTTCCATGTCAACATATGAAGAATTATAAGAATTTTCTTATCTATTAAGTAACGAATTAATACTTGGTTTCCTTTTGTTCATTGCTATGTATTCAGTTCCCCAATTTTAAAGTTGTATGTAGTTTAACTTCTTAAAAGTTACTATATAACGAGAAGAAGAAAAATTTAAAATGCTTGTAATCATGAAATTTAAAATTTGATAACTAGGTACAGCTCAGCATACTGCAATGAATAAAATGAAACAAAAAATCTGTAGATTAACATGAAGGAAGCAGAATCATTTTGTGTGAAGAGAGCCTTTAAACTAAAATTTCATACTTATAATTTCAAATCAAATTCTTTCAGGGCATTGGATGTTACATGTTTAGAATTGATGATGATGAAGTTGTGGATGCAACAATGCATGGCAATGCTGCTAGGTTTATCAACCACTCCTGTGAAGTATGCATCGTCTTTCATTATATTTCTATTGTTACCTTTTAGTATTTTAAAAAAATTTTCATGCATGATTTTCTTTTTCAGCCCAATTGTTTTTCAAAAGTAATAACTGTGGATGGAAAGAAACATATTGTGATCTTTGCCCTCAGGAAGTAAGAATAATTAATATTATCTAATGAATTATTTTACAAATTAAAGCCAGTACTTAACTGTGACTTTTTTTTTTTTAACAGAATTATGAAGGGAGAAGAATTGACCTATGACTACAAGTTTCCATTTGAGGATGAGAAAATACCTTGTCACTGTAATTCTCGAAGATGTCGAAAGTATTTGAACTAGTTCAATTACCTTTAAATGCTGTGTGAGTATTATAATAACTAATAATTTAGATCTTTTAATAATAATCAAGCTTAGTGAGAGAACACGTTAAATTACATTTTAAACAATTTGAGAAAATCAGCATTAGCAAGTTTTAAAAAAACTTATTTGCTGAAACTTTTTTTTTAATTGATGCCATTTAATTTAAACAAAAATTAAGCAAAATAAATTTATGTTTAATACTTAAAGACAGTATTCTTGAATTTGAAAGTTTTCAAAATATCCTGTAGCAAGTTCTTCCATTAATTTAACTGAACAAATCCTTAATAATATCAATGATGTAGGCTTAGCTTTTATTTTTGGAGCAAAAAATAATATGAAGTAAGAGACTGTAACTGGGGATGTAGACTGTTTTTGCATGTTTATTAAGGAAGAGAAACTCAGTACAACAAAATCACACTCGCAAGTATTTTGTATATTAAATACTGTAAAATCGACTTTAAAATTACTAAACATCCTGCATGAAAGCTTGTTTAGTTGGGAAAATGTAACATTTTTAAGAAAATGTAATACAAAGTGTCAAAAAAACACTTCAGATTATACAGGACTTAGAAAAATTCTAGAATTATTACGTAATATGCGTTTAAACATCCAACAATTGCTGGATTCTAATTTAATGTATTTAAAAACTTGTAGTAAATGTTTGTATGTTTAATTATTTATTTCCTAATTACAAGAAATAAAAATCATTCGGAAAAATAATTAAAAATAGAGATCCTTCTTTGGACAACAGCACATTTTAACCTAACAAAATTGTTTATTTTGAGTCACACTTCTAATTTAGGCACGGTAGTTAATAATATTAATATAACATTCATAAGTTTGTTTGTTGTAAATATATTTCATGCTTAATACATTCTATTTCAGGTGGCAGCTTAAAAGCATGCGAAAATGTTTCTAACTGTGATAATTTATTCTTGTTTTATGTAGCCTAGCTTTTTATTATTTTTAAGTATCAAAAGGTGCTGTTCCTCATTATCATAGAATAATAAAAATGTATTATAAATTATTGTATATAATAATTAGAAATTGAACTTTTTATTATTGTAAATAAAATTGGATTTTATATTTTCTGTGATTCTTTTTTTCTTTCCCTTCAAATGTATTATTTTTCTGCTAATTGCTGTTTTTATCACAGATCATACACTTCTTGCTGAGGTAACAAATTAGTTTCACTGTTACCTTTGTTCAAACTCTTATTCCTCAAACTGTGAATCATGCAGTACAGGAAAGGAAAAAAAATTGCGTTTTTAAACAGCTCTCCTTATTAAGTCAAACTATCCTTTTTGAAAAAAAACTGGACAATAATTACGAGAAAGCTTTTCATTCAGAAAAATAAACATAGAAAAGATTTCAGACAAAAAATTAATGCATAAAAAAGACTCATTAAAGGTTTTATATATGTATATTTTCAAAAACTATAGCAACGGTAGCAAAATACTATAAAGAGGTGAACTAGAGAATTGTTGTAAAAAAATATCCATGAATTTTGAAACTAAAGTAAGGGTAAAGAGTTTCAAGGATTGTTACTGTAGATTATTTTAACTAGTAAATGTAAATAAAGAACAAAATTAACAAGTAACAAAATAAAGTTTATTAAATTCTTGAAGCAATATTGAAAAAACAAAGCAAGGAAAAATTTATAAAGTATAATCTCATAACTTCATCTGGGACACATCACACCCCTGCCACCATCAATAGGAAAATTCACACCAGTTGTAAAAGAAGAACAATCACTAGCTAAAAATGCAATAGTTTGTGCAACTTCTTCAACAGTTCCAACCCTGCCAATAGGATGAGTTTCTTTGCCTTTTTCTAAAAACTAGTAAATACAATCAATTATTAAAAACAGTTTAGGTTCATATTTAAAAAAAAAATTTATCTTTAGCTCTTGCTCTGTGAAAATAAAGGGCCATCTTTAAATTATACAAAACATTGTATCCCCAAACACAATTTTTAATGCTCGATAATGTACATTAAATAAGAATTTTGTCTAGATGATTTGTATTATTTAAACCATGAAAAAAAAATGAAATAGTCTCCTCCCTATTGTAAGAATATAAACTATATTAATGCATGCAAAAGTAACATTCGAAATTGCTGAAGATTGAATAAAAATGAATTATTATCAGCAACAAAAAACAATTTTTTGAAATGTTGTAGTGATTAATGATACCTAATACCTTAATGGCAGGTTGACAAAATATTGCATTATACAATAGCTTGACCTACCAATTTAATGAAAAAGAGAGAAAAAATTGTTGTAAGGAACAAAATCTAAATTTATCTTGAAACAGTTTTTTATGTCATAAAGTATTATTTCTTTTTTAAATTATATATATATGAGTACAAAAAATATATTTGCAATATTAAAATAAAATTTGTAGTGATAGAAAATGGTACTAACAAATCATTAATCAAATGAATGTGTTTATTTGCATATGTATGTACTGCAGAGTTCTCCTTAGGAATTAAAAAAAAGGAAGGGCACTGCCTCTCAAAAATGGGCATTTTGAGTTTTGAAATGGCAGTCACCCCCATAAAATTTATCAAAATGTGTAATATTATGCAATAATTGAATTTGATCTTCCACAATTTTTAAATTACCCTCTTATGCTATTTTATTATATATCAAAAAATATGTTTTTCTTATTATTAAAGAGAAAAAATTGTTGATAAAAATAATTTAAGGTATGTTAAAAAACAATTAATCCATAAACAGTTTGAAAGTTTTTTTCTATAAATTAGACTGAAAACTATAAGAAAATAAACATTTAAAGGTGCAGTGTTTTTATACAAAAAAAAAAGGTATTTATCAATTCCTACCCCGAAAAAAGAGATATTTATAAAAACGTATAGAGTTGAGGATAATCCGAATAAAGTAAATATTTGTAGTAGTACCTAATCAGAATTAAACCTATAAACACAGATAATTATACCAGTGTGTAATTATTTAAACAGGGAATATTTTTTTTAAAGATGGAATNATACATAATGCATGCAAAAGCAACATTCAAAATTGCTGAAGATTGAATAGAAATGTATCATTATTAGCAACAAAAAACAAACTATTAAAAAAAACTTTTTCTTCTTGAAATGTTGTAGTGATTAATGATACCTAATACCTTAATGGCAGGTTGACAAAATATTGCATTATACAATAGCTTCACACAACAATTTAATGAAAAAGAGAGAAAAAAAAATGCTGTAAGGAACAAAATCTAAATTTATCTTGAAACAGTTTTTTTTATGTCAAAGAATTATTTCCTTTTTAAATTATATATATAAGTGCCAAATAATATATTTGCAATATTAAAATAAAATTTATAGTGATAAAAAATGGTACTAACAAATCATTAATCTAATGAATGTGTTTATTTGCATATGTATGTACTGCAGAGTTCTTAGGAATTAAAAAAAAGGAAGGGCACTGCCTCTCAAAAATGGGCTTTTTGAGTTTTGAAGTGGCAGTCTCCCCCATAAAATTTATCAAAATGTGTAATATTATGCAATAACTGAATTTAATCCTCAACAATTTTTAAATTACCCTCTTATGCTATTTTATTATGTATCAAAAAATATGTTTTTCTTATTATTAAAGAGAAAAAATTGTTTATAAAAATAATTTAAGGCATGCTAAAAAACAATTAATCTATAAACAGTTTGAAAGTTTTTTTCTATAAATTAAACTGAAAAATATAAGAAAATAAACATTTAAAGGTGCAGTTTTTTTATGCAAAAAAAAAAGGTTATCAATTCCTACCCCGAAAAAAGAGATACTTATAAAAACATATAGAGTTGAGGATAATCCGAATAAAGTAAATATTTGTAATAGTACCTAATCAGAATTAAACCTATGAACACAGATAATTATACCAGTGTGTAATTATTTAAACAGGGAATTTTTTTTTTTTTTTTTTTGAGATAGAATATGAATAAAACGACTGTTTTTAAGGGACGACAGCTTATTTTTACAAAGAGGGTGCATTTAAAGGGATCATAAAAGCGTGCCGCCCTTCTGAAAACGCTTAGGGAGAACACTGTATACTGGTTGAAAATGCATAATATATGGAAAGTAATATTGATAGGAATATTTCATGAAACAAAAAATGAGGTTGCAAACCTTAGCATACTCTTCTTCAGACATTCCACCTCTTTTGTGAACATTAGTAACTACAACACCAGGGCTAAAAAAAGAACATTTTAATTTGAGAATTCTCATTCTTTAATTTTTCACCCCTTCAAAGTCTAATATAAACATTAAACTGTTCTAAATATAACATTAAATAACTATCTTAATAGATTTTGAAAATGATCCTAGAAAGACCAACACATGCAATTCATTTTCACAAAAATTTTAATTAAATTTAGAAAACATGGCAAATGAAATATATGTGTCCTTAATTCTATCCAAAAGTATTATATAAATTTTAATTTATAAAATTATGATAAATATGCCTTTTTATAAAATGTTCCATCTCACACTCATGTTTATGTAATAAATGTGCAACACTAATTTTACCAGATAGATGTGTATATATACTTTGCTCAGCGAGACTGAAAGCAGACAGTGATTCGCTGCTTAAAGCCAAGACTGACTAAATTTGCTGGTTTCTCGCTGCATTTGTAGTCCTTTTCTAAATTACTATTGTTCAGATTTGCTGGTCATAACTTTGGCGTCAATCAGCCAAAGAAAATGAGAAGTGCCCAGAGGCTTTATCTATTTCTACTATCAGTTTTTGTTGAACAGAGTATGTGTGGTGAAAAAAGGAATACTATTTCATCTTTGGTTAATCATAAAATGTTTTTTTTTTTGTACTTACACAAATAACTTCTAAATGTTTCAAATAAATTATTCTAGGTTATTCTTGAACATTTCAACAGTAATATCATAATCTGAAAGATTTTTTTTTTTATTTTACTAATTATTTTTGAGAATACCAAAAAATAGATTTAGCTCATTTAATAAATTGTGCTTTTCTTTTAAATAAATCTGAAATTAACCTGTTTAATTACAGTTGAGATACAAAAGGTATAGACAGATCCTTTAACATATAGTCTAAATTACTTACTATCAACTATGAATTTAGAATGACTAATTATAGGGAAGAAGTATAAATATTTTCAAGCATTAATATTAAAATGATATTTACTTATAGTTATTAAGTTGTATTTCATATAAAAAAATCTATATAACTTAATACTTATTTGCTTTTTTTTTTTAATGTTGAACTTATTAAGTTGTACAGGATGTCATAAATATAAGTTATGATTGAAATTCAGAATAAAACAAAGTAAAAGTTTTAAAAAACTTCTTAAGAAGAAATTTTTTAAAATTTATTAAAATAATCTAAGATATAAACTTACTTTACACTATTAACACGGATTCCATCTGCTGCAACTTCTAAAAGAGGGGAAAAAACTTTTTAAATAAAATTCATTTTAATATTAGGTTTGTCAAATACAATTGCAAATAAGACACATTGATTACCTAATGCAGTACATCTAGTGAGCTGATCAATAGCTGCCTTGCTCATACAATATGCAGCAACTCCAGGAAACTGATCAATAAAAATGAACAAATACCAATATAAATATAACAAAAACTAACACATTAATTACCAGTAAAACAAAAGGTAAAAAAAAAATAGATTTTTTTTTCAATAAAAATATGAAACATTAAAGAATTTTAAAGTTTTAAATACTATTTATATTATTCAAAGAAATGTTTATGCATATTTTAATGCAAATAGATGATTAATTTACTGTTTTTACACCTTTTCTGTAACAATTCAGTTAATGGATAAATTGCATACAAAGTTAAATTTGCTAAATTTTAAATATGGCACTACATAAATCTATAACTCAGAAGTAAAAAAGCGCTAAGTCTATTTTTTACAAAATTAAGGTTTTTACAATTTACAATAAAATTTTGCTTCACTATCAAAAGGTATAAAAAAGGCCGTATCTTTTAGGCCTACAAATAACATTAATAATGTTAATAACATAAATAATGTTGATTATAAATAAAAAATCAAAGAAAACCTGTAATAGTGCAGTTAAATGGGTAAAAGAATCATTCAACTGATTATTTTAAATAATTTAACAACTGTGACATATATGTGTATGACAGATAAGTGTGCAATAAAGCCCTGCACCATACACTGCACCAAATATACCTTATTTTTTTTGCATTCAAAAACATTTAAATTTACATCTAAAAAAAATTACTATTGCTAAATGTTCTAAACTCGCACTTGGAACAAGTTATTTAAATATATTTAATAATCTAAGAATTTTAAAAATTTATAGGTTATCCAATATTGATTGGGAATGCTTAATTATTACCTAACTATATCCTGGATTATTAACTATTTCATAAAATTTGTTGTTGTTTTTTTTAATCTAATTAAATAGCTATATTTTGACTCATTGCAGATGTATAATTAAAGCACAATTAACTTGATCTTAAAAATTTCATTTTAAATCAATTTGATTCCAAAAATTTATTTGACAATACAGATTAAATTTTTTAATGTAGAAAAATTGCAATACAAAACAAATATTTGAACATATGTAGCATTTAAACAGTATGAAAACATTTTAATGGAATACAAATATTTAAAAAATAAAAAAATTAGTCTTTATAAAAATAATAAAAAATTTTCAAACCCATATGAAATTTTAATAATTAAAAATTCAAACAATAAAATACAATTTAGTATGAAGGTTGATTTAAAAGCAAAAATAACTTCAAAAAAATGAAAAAAACAAACTTAACATTTTTAATAAAAATAAATACTTACAGATCGAAGACCAGCTATACTTGATACATTAACAATGTTACCTAAAATTAAACTAAACTTAATCTTAGCAATATAACAATGACTTAAAAAAATAATAGAGTTAATATATTTCTAACAAACAAGTATGAAAAAAAATTTTTAGTATTTCATTAAACAAATTTAATTGTTTAAAAAATTTAATAACAAATGAAAGAAACAAATACTAATGCTTAAAGCTTGTAATTACTTAAAAAAAAAAAATTAATAATAATTATTTTAGCAAATTAAAAAATTACATTAAGCTAAAATAAAAATCTTCATATCTTTATTAAAACGTTTTTAACTTAATACTTAAAAGAAGAAAATTTAATAAAAAGAAAGTTTTTAAATAATAAAAAATAAAAGTTTTACTTAGGCAAAAATATTACAGAGACAAAGAAAATAGAAACATGCAGTACAACATAGAACAGTAATAGCTTGCTATTTTTATTTATGATTAAAACTAAACATGAAAAGAGTGAAAATAATGCCACATAAACACATTATAGTTTCAGTTCTATAATATTTATTTTATATATTCTCTGTAGTTTTTTTTTCTTTGTGGGTATTTTCACCATTTACAAATGAGGTATTTGCATACTTTAAAAGCATTTAACTCAGTCAAAAAAGAATCTGAGCGGATAAGTGTAGTTAATAGTAAATAAGTGTTGGTATCATTTACACTTATTCTAATTTTTATTAGTTAAAATTTTTTTATAAATTAAAAACTGAGTTTTGTCTTCCAAACATAACATAATATATCATATATCCATAACTGCAAGTTTTTACTATTTTAAAAAAGATTTTTAAAAAATGGTATAAGTGTAGGGTGACCCGGGGTAATTCACGATCACTCTGTTTCTGGGGTAAATAATGATCACCTAAGTTTTATTTTAAAAAAAAATTTTTTTTTTAAATTTAGGACATGGACAAGAATGCTTGTACACTTTACTAGAGTATAACTACATTTACTTAATAATAATTTTTTGTTTAATCTAACAAAATAAGTATCTTTTAAACTGCTTTCTGTATTTTCCATTTCAAAGATGGGTGGTTTCAAAATATGCACATTTCTGCAAAGATCCCCCTCCTTCTCTTAATAATAAATATTTTGAGTCACTTTCTTTTTCTTTGATATAAACGTAGTGTAAGTTTTTGTTTAATTGTTTCACATCTACTGTAAACATTATAATTGATTATATTATAGGAAACTATATCAAATGTTGCCCCCTACAGATGGGGTAATTATTGATCACTGGGGTAATTCCTGATCATTGTCATTTCTTCTTATAAATAGTATATAAAATAGCTTATAAATACCTAATTGTCTTTTCTTAAATAACAGTTCATATTTATTAAGTGGAACAACTATAAAATATATTTTAACTGTCATCACAAAATTTGTTTTTAACTGTATACAAGACTGTATTCTGATTTGCACCATTTCTGGTTTGTCTTACCTTGCTTCTATCTTAATTTTATGTGTGTACATCGTTAGAATAATTTTTAAGTTTATAAATTAGCCTAGTATAAATATGGTGAGAAATTATAAGCCTAAAAAGGATACTAAGCTTCTAGAAAACAAAATTAGTGAATTTCTTTTAATGATTGAAAATGAAAATTTCAGTGTGAGAGCTGCTGCCAGAGCTGTTGACATACCTTACTTAACTTTACACTTTCCCTTAATGAAGTTAAAAAATCCAGCAAAAGTAACCCATGTGGGAACTCTCTTATATTTCAGAAGAACATGAGAATGAGTTGGCTGATTGCCTAAAATGTATGGCACGATGCAAAGATTTTTGAAAATTTAAAGTGTTAATCGTTCTTCTTGCTTTTAAATAAATCATTTTATTAGCTGCTTAAACATATCTTTTTGGTTTATTTGTTTGATCTTGATGTCTTATTTGTTAATTACCATTATATAATTATTTTTAAACAGCCCCTTTACAATAAAAACTGGTGATCAGTAATTACCCCAGAAGTGATCAGGAATTACCCCAGAAATGATCAAGACCAGGGGTAATTCCTGATCACTAAAAATTTAAAATCTTTTAAATTCTAATTAGATTTTCAAACAAAAGAAGGTGGCATTGGACTCATCTCATATAGCCTCAAACTTCCAATCAATATTAAAATTCTATTTTGAATAGTTTTTTCACAAAATAGATGTTTGCGTTTTTTGATCAGGAATTACCCCAGGTCACCCTAAATGTCATTAAAATTTATTATTACAGACATTATTAGAGCTGATCAAATTTATAGAGCTGATTTTTTATGGTCCTAAAGTCCACAAATATAACATTCCTAAATGGTGCAATTTCCCAAAAGGTAATAAAAAAAGTACTTTAACAAAAGCATAAGTGTGACTTTTAGTTCCATTACAAATTACTATTTGCTTTTATTGATCTTTTGTTACCCTATTAGACATTAATAAAAAATGAACTTTTCTTTTATCTGTTTCTGTTTACAGTAAATAATGATAAATGGGTAAACAAAAGAATTTAATACTTGAAAACATTACTGCAAAAAGAAGTGCTGTTATTTTTACTGTTTACTTAATAAAACAGTGTATTTCTGTAGTTTTCGAAGTTTATTCATACTTTTTCACTAAAAATACAGCCCCAGTTACTGGAGCACCTAATACTAAATATAAGTTGCAATTATAAAACAGTAAAACCTTGAGTTTACTTCTTTTTGCAGCATAAATTATTTTTTTTGAAAGATTAAAAGCATATTATTACGTGTCTGATGTTTTATCCACAGTCCACAAAAAACATGTATCCCAACCACAAAGCATTAATGTAGAGTTGTTATTTTCTATTGAACAATACTTTTACCAACTCTTGTATATTAGCTCCAATTTTGCCCTATAGTTTTTGTAAAAATATGTGTCAATTTTTTTCATTAGGAAAACAAGTATTGAAAACATAGATTTGGTTTTACATTTTATCAAAAATATAATAAGAGCTAAAAAGACAGATTAAAAATTACTGTAACTAATATGCATAGTAAAAAGAGATAAATAGCTGTTAATTTTTATCTAAAGGTAGTTAGATTTTTCTTAAATATAATTAAAAAACATTTAAAAATCAAACAGAAGCAAAAATGTGTTTTTATTAACAATTAAACTCTTAAGAATATTTGACTTAAAATAATTACATAAATATGAACCAAATTTAAATAGAAAATAATAAAAGTATATAATAATAGAACAAATTCAAACCTTTAGTTTTTCTCAGATATGGTATAGCTAATTGGGACATAAGGAATGCAGCTCTGATATTTGTGTTATAAGTTAAGTCAAAAGTTTCTAACGGTGTATTTTCCACAGTTCCTGGGATAAGAACACCAGCATTATTCACCTAAAAAAATAGTTCTTTTTTAATTACATTAAATTTTGAAGAATAAGACAAAAAATCAAATTGTAAACAATGAATTACCAAAATATCTAATCTTCCAAATGTATCAATGGTAGATTTTAAAATTCGTTTAATATCTTCAGCTTGAGATACATCACCTATTACCGTTGATATCTAAAATAAAAATTGAACTTTCAGATATTTTAGCAGCAAAAAAAATTTGTAATTTAAATAAATTTTTCATAAGCAACTTTCAAATTATATCTTATCAAATATGGACTGCTATTATTTCAAAAAATTGGAATGATGAATTTTTTTGATTTAAAAAAAAAATAGCCTATTTAATGCTAACAATGAAACATCGTTCAGGGTTACAGAGAAATCTTGTCAAAGTACTGCTGCTAGACAATTAGGAAGCTTGATTTGATGTTTTTCATTCCGCCTTCCTAACAATAGATTCTGATGCTTGTACTTTTTTTCCTTGTTCAAGTATTAATTTGCTACATAAGTGCAATTATTATTACTTTATTGAAAAAAATTCCTTAAGTATATGTTAACAGCAGCAATTACATACAAAAAGGGTGTCCCAATTTAATAAAGCCACTAGGAATGTGTGCAGTAGTAGTAATAAATATAAAGAAATTTATGCAATAAAAAAAATTTTATATATAAAAATGCATATTTGAGAGGAGTAACTCACTTCCTGCCCTACTTGGACATCGAAAAAATATAAGCTAACAATATTTTCTTTCCTTCATGGAAATATTAAAAATATATTTACGTAAATCGGTTTTTAAAAAAAAAATTCGAGAAAAGAAAAGACTTTGCTTTATCCCCTAGCTTTAACAAAAAGATTTCTACTTTATTACCATTCTTATAATTTCCCTTATTTAATGATATTATGTAAACCAATATTACCAGCATTTATAATTTTTAATAAAAAAAAATCATTATTATAAATATAAATAAGGATTAAACAATTACAAAATATTTCACAATTTTAATTTATCAATTATCTTGATCAAGCAACATTACTTAGCATGCAACATAAGAAATAACATCAGAACATAATTAATAGTGGAATAAGAATATGCGAGCAGGTATGAATTATGCAATACCAAGATTTTCTGTAATGAGGCAGTTGTTAAAATTTACAAATTTAGTAGTTGCAATTAGCAATTTTGATTTCTTATGATTTATTATTAAAAAATATGGTAATCCGTAAATAAAAGCTATTTTTAATTTTGTTAGGTATCAAATTCATTAATTGAAAAAGTTAAAGAACAAAATTAAATATTTAAAATATAATTACAAGATTTGATTTTATTAATAAGGAAGTTTTTACATCAATGACAACATAAAACAATACAGATAACTAACAAAACATTTAAAAAACAAACAGAACACCACTTTAAATTAAAATGAAATACAATTAAAATAAGTATTCTCAATTGAGAACATTTCCAATTTTTTTTTCCAAATTTAAAGCATCATTCCGAATCAAAACTACGTATTAGTCAGAAATTTTGACCTCATGGGTAAGAAAAATTAATAAATGAAAAAAGTTATAAAAAAAATATAAATTACAGTGATGTAGTGTTAAATAGCTGTTGTTTATCGCATTAATTTTAATTAGTTTAGTCATTTTTTTTCCATTGGTTAAACAGTTAATTCCAGGAGTTCAACNTTTTGCCACTGTCCTGGCAAAAAACCCTTTTTGCCGGCAAAAACTCCAACCCTGGTTAATTCCATTAGTTCAACAACACATAACAGCAATTTTATATTTTATGCGTAATTTGGAGCACTTTTCATAATTTAAGAACAGTTTCACCAAATAATTGTGAGCTGAATAAATAAAATATGATTCACAATTGAGTACCCCTTTTATTTTAGCAAATTTTTTTTTCGGTTCTTATAGAAAACAAAAAATGACTTAAAAGTGTGATTTTCTAATAAAAAATTTTGAGAGAAATTACAGGAAAATCGATGATTTTATTAATAGTAAATAAGCATGAAGGGGCAGACGATTCTACTCTCGAATCAAAATTTGACTAGATTGGTTCGACACACCTAATGAAATAAAATAATCTTACAATAATTTTTGGCTCTCAAAATGAAACAAGACTACATCATTGGAATGTTACAAATTTAAATTAAGTTCAATAACGGTTTACTAGAGATATTATTTTCATGGAGGAATTATAAGGCAAGATTCTTTAAATATTGATTCATGCAAACTATAAACATAAAAATTGGAAAAACATAAGTTCTCAAAAAATTAAGTAATATTTAAGGTAACACTCTAGTAGATTTTTTTTAAAAGTCTTACATCTTCAGATTTCGCTCCTGCTTTTTTACAGTTTTCAACTACTTTTTTTAAATTTTCTTCATTACGGCCAGTAAGACTCAATTTGCATTTTAAACTTGCAAAATGAATAGCAGTACCAGCACCAATTCCAGAAGATGCACCTAAAATATTAATTGTAATCAAATCAAAATAACAATTAATCGAATGAGAAGAAAAATAATTAGGTGATTTAATAATAATAGCATATTTAATTTTACTTCCATTTAATAATTTTCAATATTTTTAATTTCAGTTATTCTAATTCAGAATTTTAAAATAAAACAAGAATACTTACTGTGTTATTTAACTAAAAAGCAGCGAAAAAATAAAAAAAATACTGAATGTTTATCCTTAATTATGCTTACAAATCTATGCGTTGACGAAATTTATAGCTAAAAGAAATCTTATTTTGCAACTTAGTGATTAATTGAAAATAAAAGTCTTGACTAACATCCTGACTCAACTAATATATGATATATTCTTTTTATCTTAACTTAATATAGCAAAATTTTAACCTTGTGAGGTGCGTTGCGCTATTGCAAAATTGTAAGCCTTTGATATATGTATGCTAAGTCTTAAAACGTTTTTATTCTCAATAGAAATTGTTACCTGTTATTAAAGCAACTTTGCTTGCTAGACTTTGCATATTTTCACCCATTAGTTATCGAAAATTTTGGAGAACCGATTTATATAAATTTTCACTCGTCCTTCGATCACAAAAAACCACAACAGTCGGTGAAAAAAAAAGACACGAAGACATAATTTCTACGCCAAACTCGCCAAGATTGAGTTATCATTCTAGATACTGTACAATGCTTTGCTGTGATTGGATAATATTATAAAAATGGCATTTTTTTTTCCTGGAAAGATCCGTTACATTTTGAGGTAAATAGTTATCAAGTATGTTGAAAATATATAGTTATTGCTATCCATTTCCTTATAAAATATTAGTGAGTTTTCGATAAATAAGCTTGTTATGCTTTCTGTAGCTGTAACCGCAATTTTAATGTTGCTATAGTAACGAATTATCAACAAAAATTGATTGCTGAAGCCAAATCTTCTGTAAAAGTGAACTACTAAAAAAAATAAATTTGTGAAGATAGAAATTTAAGGAGAAAAAGCACAGGATTTATTACGATATTAATTGAAGCATGGTAACCATTGATAGTGATACTGTTGATTTCGAAATACTTATTGGTAAAGTAGAAGAAGCGATTGAAGCCGATAGAATTCACAGTTTAAGAAATGATGCAAAAATACGAGCCATTAACCAGTATGGGACGACTTACGAAGATTTTGAAAATATGGTTAAAGGTGCAACTCTTAAGCCATTAGATAAAAAGGAAAAAATTTTTGGCACTCCGAGACAAACTTGGAACTCCTTTGCGAGTAAGGATGGACGAGATTTAAAGAACAAAACTGTTGATGAAACTCCTAAAAAATGTTACTTACAGGTATAATAGAAATATATAAAGGTTTCGACAAATAATAAGCAATACTCTTTGCCAGGTGTCCCTTTTCATTTTGCACTTCTCTATCGAAAATCAAAATGCTGAAGTTATAAGAAATGGAGAGACTCAATCGTCAGCTTTTCTAATCAAAAGTAGTTCCTTTGAAATTGTGAACATTTTTATGAGGACAAAAAAAAAGTTTTTTTTTTCTGCTCGCTGATAATTCATGAGTATCCTAAATGTTCTTCTAACAATGTAAAAAATGTTAAAGTGTAAGCTAATGTCAATGTAAAGCTAAATGTTAAAATGTAAAATAAGTTTGAAGCCGTAGTTTGAATTATTATTGCCTAAAATTTCATTTCAGAAGGAAAAGAAATATTGCTAATAGGGGTATTTTTACCCTCCCTTTGTTGTTGTTGTAGTTCATTTACGTCGCACTAGAGCTGCACAATGGGCTATTAGCGACGGTCTGGGAAACATCCCTGAGGATGATCCGAAGACATGCCATCACAATTTTGATCCTCTGCAGAGGGGATGGCACCCCCGCTTCGGTAGCCCAACGACCTGCACGCAAAGACGAGCACTTTACGGTAGCACAGTTTAACGAGGACCAATACCGCACACCCTCGGTCCCTACGCAGACTGATCCAAGTGGTCACCCACCCGCACACTGACCGCAGTCAGTGATGCTTGACTTCGGTGATCTGCTGGGCACCGTGTCTTAACGATCAGTCCACTGCGGGACCCCTCCCTTTCACACATATCAAAGATATATTAATAGAATATATATTTAAAAAATATATAATACAGAAATAAGAAAACTTTTTAACATTATATTTTCATTTTCCTTAAATAAAGTTAATATTTCAATATTATGTTGATTCAGGCAGCAATCGTCATCCCTCCTCAAGGCTGATGGGGACATTCCTCTTTGAATTTGAAAACTCAACTCTCCCATCCACGCAAACAACAAAAAATACACATAAATTTTTTATTTAAACAATTTTTTAACTATATCTGATTTATCTCAATAGATTCACTGTTAGAAATATTTTGCACGACATTACTTTCAGAAGACAAAATAAACATTGTGAAAATAATTTTTTTTTTAAAAATTGCTGTGCAAAAATGACATACAAAGGGATAATGAATTGTTCTCTTAAAAAATTAGATTAATTTTAGCGATCAATTCGATTCAGGTCGTTGAGCCCAAATTAAATGTAACTAAACGTTTATTCAAATGTAACTAGCTATTTAATTAGAAAAATTTATTTATTAAAAAATTTGTATAAAAAATTTATTATAAAATTTTTTGTTATACAAGGATTAATTTGAAGTGAGCAGAAAGAAATTTTTTAAATATATATTTTTTTAATTATATTATCTCCTATAATAATGTATTTTTATATACTAGGAGGCTCCGGCCCCTGCTCGCTACCGCTCGCCAACCCCCGAGAATTGCTACGCAATCCTATGTGGTTCACGCCGTGAACCATGGCTCGCTGCGCTCGCTCGCCAATGAACACAATGTTCTAGCACAAAGACATA